ATGTAGCACAACCCGTCGCGAGATTTAGATCGACCGCGATTGCGTTCTTGCGATCTATGTCGACGGCGGAAACTGTCACTTCGCGCACCAGCGTCTTTCAAGTTACGAATCTCAGCCTCGAGTCTGCGTAAGCGACCGCAAATTTCTAACAACGGATCTGAATAACCCGAACTAGCACTCGAGCTAATGGTCGGCGTCGGACTCGATGCGCTCGCGACCGCACTCACTCCCGGCGATGACGCGGAACTCCCGAGCACATTAAATTGTTCGTAGATGCGATCCGCATACAACGCGAGCGTTTGTAAATCGACTGCGTCGCTAACAGCCAGTATCGGTCGCACTTTGGGTGGCAATTGTTCAAGGAACAACGACCTTAGCACGGAATCGTTTGGAGATGCGTTCGTAACCGCGCGCAACTTACACAAATATGCCGACGGCTTTTCGGTGCCCATCTCGTGCGTTCGTAACAGTCGCCGCAGCTTAGCCTCCTGCGACTCGCCAAAAGTTTCGAGAATGCGTCGTTTAACGGCCTCGTACTTACTCTGCTCCGGGGGAGCAAGCACGATGTCACGCACAGCCACGAGTGCGTCACCGTTAATGTTCACGCACACCGCACCGAACTTGTCCTCGTCCGTCGTTTTATTGTTCTGGACGAAATATAGCTCCACTTGTCTGAGCCATAATTCCGGGTCGTCCTTGATGAACGTTGGAAACGTACACTTAACGGAACGCTGCGCGAGCGCTGGGGAATTACCGGAAGGTTCCGTCATCGCGATGCCTGGATCTGAACAATCCGGCGATTGAGGGTCAACGTTTTCGAGTCGCGCTTGATTACGCGTTACCGGCATTAGAATGTCTCGATAACGATAATGCGCGCACTGCACAACACGCGCACAAAGTAATTTGCACGAGTACAACACGCCACGTGCACTTTGTTTGGATGGCCGACGTTGGACGGAATTTCAGTTCGGACGCTAGCCACGTGTTTTTCACGGTCACTGAATCTACTCGGTAATTAGCTAACCGATCACGTCGGGGTCACCAATTTATGTGGGGGCTGTGTGCAGGGCAGCAGGACTCTCTGGTATCGTCTTATGCGTGGTACGCATGCACATGGCGAGAGCCGTTATGATCTGACTCCGGATTCCAAAACCCTTTGCTCCCATATAATAAAATTTACTGAACCGTTATGATGAGGCAGGTATGGAGCTCTACCTCCAAGAAATGATAAACGCTGATTAACGATTGCACAGGATCGTTTATTCTGATGGCGAAAAGGCCCGCGTACAATGTCTGTATAAAATGGCGAACCTCGTGGTCGCTTACAAGTACGATCGCCACGCGTGGCTAGAAATTTTGAGCTCGATACAAAAGATATCGATTCGCTTCGATTCGTCGTTTAATCACTATTCGTAATAGTAATCCGCGAGGGCGGATGCGCGTCGGATATCAACGATTGATTCGGATACGGCGGAACGCGGCTTAGGTAAGACGTGTATTTGTAACGCGAACGTGCGTTCTCGATGATGCGTTAACGAGGACTGTTAACCGTTGAGGAGTTTGAACGGCTAAGGAAGAAGCCTACATTGGTTTAACGCAAGGGCGTAAAACTCCCTAGATATGTTGGCGCAGTGACGCCACATTGGGGTTGCTCGCGGCGCCATCTAGCGTTCACGGCTGCGAACATGTTTGACTCCAATATGTACGGCAATATTTCTGCAATTTTCGTTTTTCCTCAATAACTCCCGAACGGATGGACGTAGGGGGGTCGTTAGGGTGCCTTTCTTGTAGAGGACGATCTGATCTACAAGAAAGGTCCTATGCACTTTTCGCGTATCTGCAAGGGTTTAGGAGTTATTGAGGAAAAACGAAATTTCTTGTTAAAAGCGAAAATTCTTGGCTCCAATATTGCTGCACCAGAGAGAAAAACGGGTTCGCAGCCGTGAACGCTAGATGGCGCCACGAGCAACCCCAATGTGGCGTCACTGCGCCAACATATCTAGGGAGTTTTACGCCCTTGCGTTAAACCAATGTAGGCTTCTTCCTTAGCCGTTCAAACTCCTCAACGGTTAACAGTCCTCGTTAACGCATCATCGAGAACGCACGTTCGCGTTACAAATACACGTCTTACCTAAGCCGCGTTCCGCCGTATCCGAATCAATCGTTGATATCCGACGCGCATCCGCCCTCGCGGATTACTATTACGAATAGTGATTAAACGACGAATCGAAGCGAATCGATATCTTTTGTATCGAGCTCAAAATTTCTAGCCACGCGTGGCGATCGTACTTGTAAGCGACCACGAGGTTCGCCATTTTATACAGACATTGTACGCGGGCCTTTTCGCCATCAGAATAAACGATCCTGTGCAATCGTTAATCAGCGTTTATCATTTCTTGGAGGTAGAGCTCCATACCTGCCTCATCATAACGGTTCAGTAAATTTTATTATATGGGAGCAAAGGGTTTTGGAATCCGGAGTCAGATCATAACGGCTCTCGCCATGTGCATGCGTACCACGCATAAGACGATACCAGAGAGTCCTGCTGCCCTGCACACAGCCCCCACACCAAAATCATTATAATTAAAACGTTCTAAAATGTTAATTAACCTAATAATTGATTAAATAATAAGTAAATGATACAATGAACGAATAACGTTTATTATTTTTATAAGTTACACCGTTCCTGTATTTTCACATTCCCTTTACATTCAATTTCAAAATAAAATTACATCAGTAACTATTTATCCAGACGTAGGTTAAAATTGTTTTTATTTTGATGTGTCAAACGCCTGATCGCTACAGCCTGTAGGATAGGTATCGTTTGTTTTCTCGTGACACCGAATACATCCTATATTTCGAAAATTCTCTAACCACGGTCGATCATCTCCATCAAGCATAAATCATGAAAGTCGTCAAATTATTATCGGCCAGATCTATAGCCACCGGTCCTAAATTTCAAAACCGGTAACTCGTTTACCTTCAAATTTCGTGTCGTATGGTCTTTCGTTGTCACGAAGAGGGAATCTTGGTTCGTGATTTTAGGTTATCGGAGCAGACCGGTCAATTAACGAAATCTAGTCTGGACAGAAAATCAACGATCGATCTCGTATCCGTGACTCATCACTCGAAATTGTGCGACAAATGGTGGGACGTAAACGGCGAATTACGTGTTTTGCACTCGTTAAATCCGCTGAGGGTACAATTCGTCAGAGACGGTTTAGCGAACACTGGAGTTCAGGCTGAAAATCCTTGTTACCCTTTGGAAGGAATAAAGGTATTGGATGTCGGATGCGGAGGAGGACTGTTCTCGGAGCCTCTGGCCAGGATAGGGGCCGACGTAACTGGGATCGATGCATCCTCGGAATTGATAGCCACCGCGAAAGAGCATGCTTCACAGGATTCAAATTTGGATGGAAAGCTAAATTACGTTCAAACTGCCATTGAAGACTTCTCTGTGAATAACAGAGAAGCATTCAATGCAGTCGTGGCTTCGGAGATCATAGAGCATGTGAACGACAAGGATTTGTTTTTCAAGGTAAAACAGTTGGTTTGAAGGAGGAATGAGTGAACGCGATACAGGGGACGTAGCTAAGGAACGATCACGCTTTCATTTTACAGAGTTGCATAGACACGTTGAAGCCTGGTGGCTCGATATTTGTTACAACGTTTAACAAAACCCTGAACTCTTGGATCGCTGGCATCATCGCGGCTGAACATATTTTTAAACTCATACCAAAGGGTACTCATGATTGGAATAAATTCATCACTCCTGCTGAGATGCAGTCCCTGTTAGAAAAGCGTAAAGTACCCCTATATACGAATCACGTTACGGGGATGAATAAACATTAATGGGAGGATGATTTTGTTTACAGACGGTTGTAAAACACAGTTGATTCACGGTATAGGTTACAATCCTTTAAAGAACGAATGTTTCTGGATGAATTCGACACAGATCAATTATGGCCTCCATGCTGTAAAGAGGAAAGAACAGAAGTAAATACGAGTATTACTTTTTTTATGAATTTATTTCATAGTATAATTGCACAATGATATGACGTTTGTATCGTTGTAACTTAAAATACACATTTTTATTGATTGTTACCAATAAAGGATGGAGAACTTGAACAGGTCATGAAAAAGTAATTATACACGTGTATAACACGAAAAATGTATTGCTCGTCTTCGTAGTATGTATCTTATAAGAAACTAATTTACATATTTTTACATTTATGTTCGTTACGGCTTGACGGTCACGGTTTTATCTAGGTAGTATGAGTCACGTTGCATCAACAAATGACAGGAAAGGAAAATATTATCGAAAAAATTACAAAAGACGTACAAACATAACGTTAGATTAAAACAAAGGGTAAAGAAATAGCTTTAGCTTATTTAGCCTTGGCAAAACCGACACGGTTGTTGCCCATGTCGAACTCGGTGTAGTAGCGACCGATAAACACGTCTCCCAAAATCCATAGCGGACCGTTCGGTGGAGGGATGTCCATTCCCATAAATCCGCTCAGGCACATCGTCTTTCCGAACTGTTTGACCTGCGACGAAGAGAGAACGCGTCGTTGATTAATTTCGTCGAACATGTTCATCGTCCGTGGGTAAGATCAAGAGAGATAAATCGTCTTACCTTCAAGACGTAATCTTCGCCCGTGAGAGGGAAAGATTTGCCACCGACCACGAGATTGATTGTGGGCAAGTTGGGAATGGAATTGCAGTCGATCATAGCTTCTCCAGCTACGACCTCGGTAGCTCCGATCGCGGCGTTGATCTCCTTGACTTCGTCGACGGGTCCAGCGATCAAGGAAGTTCCCGTGTCAGCGATAGCTTCGCATCCGTTCTTGCAGACTTGCACGTTGTCACCAATTTTCATGCTAAAATGGATTTATTACATTAAGAAACGAATCGTCGAATCATTTATGTAGATCAATACCTGTCGACTTTGAATTGCCAGTATCCCTTCTTGTCTACCGGAACATAGGTCAATTCACCTTCGTAATGGTTCGGATCGGAGCCACCGAGGAGCATTTCTCCACCGAGCTCCGCATCGGGGTCCCTGAAACATGAAATTTAAACAGTTTTTACCCGTTCCCTGTTCCGCGATCTCCGATCGTTTTAAATGACTTCGCGGTACCTGTTCAAGTAGAAACTGAACACAGGCTGGGGTACCAGACCCTGTTTGACCATGTTGTAGAAGACGGGTGTAACACCGTCGACAGAGATTCTAGAGTAAGCCATTCCCATGATACCGTCGAATTTAGCGGCAAGGAAGGCCAGTCCGGGTTCGTTCATAGCTTCAGCGAAAGTCTGATCGGCTACTTTCAGTCCAGCGACCTGTGAAACATACGTATACATACGTTCATTGCTCAAACATTGTCTTTCTTCTTTAAATACCGAGAAAAAACGTGCATACGATCGGAATATCGATATGAATATTCTTCGAGAAAACTGGTCGATGTAAAGAGCGAAATGAAAAATGAGATTACGCGAGACGCAGTAGTCTTTATCTTCATTACACTCGTCGAGAGAGAGAGGAATATCTGAGGAGACGTAGGAAATCGTGGGGAAAACGATTTATGCAATTATAGGAATACTCACGTCGACGGTATCGGTAGACAGATAGCCAGACAAGCTTCCAGAGCCATACTTGATCGAAAAATCAGTGCCGTTCTTTTTGTACGTAGACGACTTGGTACTATCGTATTTGTGATGCAGCTCTGTGGAATACATAAGACCGTAATGTAAATGAAAACATGTCAAGTGATCGTTTATACACAGATAAATTATCAACCGATCACGCGAAACACTTTTTAATTTAAATTAATCGTGATGTACTCAGTAGATTATCAAACATTTCGATGATCACCTGTTTCACTATTAATTAATTAATTAATCTTGATATCGACACTTGAAACACTGATCAACTACACGTACTCAAACTTTATCTGCAATCTCACAGTTCAAAAAGATAAGTTATTTGTAGAATGCATTTAGAATTGAAATTGTCGGTTCACAAGCTGTTTATCTTTATCTGTGTTAATACCTTATCATCCGACTAGGGTCAAACAAATTATGGAAATTGATAATAGACGTAAATACTGTGCATAGATAAATGTAGATCGTATTAGGAATCTACTCACTGCAAGCGATGTTGGTCAAGTGGCATTTTTTAGACGGAACCCACAGGTTCGAAGATCCAGTATCAAAGATCACTTTGAACTCCTGTGGGGGAGTTCCAATGCTAATAACACCGTAGTACTGAGCATCGAGGTAGTTAGACAGAGGTTCTGGCTGAGGTTCGCTTCCGAATTGGGTGACTCTGGTCTGATAGAAGTCAGTGTTGTACTCCTTAAATTGTTTCCTAACGCTGTCTATCTTGTGCAGCGAAATCCTTGCAAAAAAAAAGAAGAGTAATGAATTGTAGTGGCAACACAAAGGGTGCCATTGTATTTCCGCGAACGACAATAGCTACTGGCGCTTCACGGTTTCTACGAATCGGAAATGTCATATAGAGAACGAAACGAAACGTTTCTCTCTTGGAATTTTGACAATACAGTAAAATTGCGTGATACCTGTGGACATCGGCGTTGGCCAGCGCCAGGAAGGCGCAAAGGCACACAGCGGCACGGAACATCTTCAAGTTTCTCGTCGATGCAGGAAACTTTAGCTGACTATCGATTACGTCGATTCGCGGAAGAAAGTTCTTTCTTTCGGATGTACTTCGGTCTAAACGGCTGTCGCCCACAAAGCTGACTTGACTGACACAGCTCGGTCAGAAACTCTCATTAATAAAGGATTCTCAAGTGGCATCGAGACTCACTGCGCACGCGCATATTGGACGACATACGCGTAATCATTAATTACAAATCTCGATGCTTATCTCGGTGCTCGATATAAAATATTTTAATTAACGTTCGAAGTGTATGGAACTTTACTGTTTAATGAAAAAGAAACGATTAATTTACGATAAATATTTGACGTCACTGATTTGTACAAGCGGTCCGAGATCACCGTTCGGAGAGGATCGAAATTGTTACGTTACTGTTACCATACCGTTACAGTCAGCTGTTTCAACACTCAATTCTATGCATACGTGTGTACCAGTGTGTACACAACTACGCTTGTGCAAAGAACACGTTGCGTCGTGATCGTTCGGTTCGAAAAAATCATTTGAGCTCGAAAAAAGAATCGGCGAAGCGAAATGTGATTAAATCACTTTTATATGTACAGAGACTTATCGAAGAACGTTTAGGGTTGATGCATGCATAGGCAAGTGCATGCAGCAGATGTTTCATGTCCGTTTTGTATATTTGCACACGATCGAAATCTGGCATGTCATTATCGAAACTGATTTAAAAATTATTCGTGATTCGACCTTGCGACGATACAGATATATAATAGGATCTTCGCGTGCCAGGCATCTCTTTGTCGATACTTTTCGAAAGCCTGTATCATCGCGTCATAGTTTGCGCCTTCGCGGTATAGAAACCGGGGAACACGATTACACGATCGTAGAACGTTTCCGATCCTGAATTCGAAATGGTAGAACATAAAGAACAGATGAGGATTCGCAGGTTTGGAGATAAAAGAGGATCGGAGCGAGCGAAGCTCTCTGGAAAGATTCGCTATCGATTTCTCGAATTTGTGTTTACGCGGGTTGCTAGTAGCAAGGCATCCTGGGTTGATAGAAGCCCCTGATAGAAGACCCTAATCGCGAGCCAATCAGTGGGCAGGATCACAGCACGGGCACTTCAGTCTTGAACTCGATCGAGGAAAAGTCGCTGGCGGCTTGAGCGAGCTAAAATTTTTGTGTAAATCAGTTCATAGAAAAAACATAAGTACACATAATTCCCGGACCAGAATATAACGATCGTTCCCCTGTGCATCTGTCGGTGAGAGCGTTGAACGAAAAGGTATGTCGCTCTTTAGAACGATGGGAAACAGAATTTTTTCGTTTTCGACCGGGAAATCGGGCTCTTATGTCAAAATCGGTACAACGATTACCCGAATCGTATCCCGTTTCTCATCGCGGCGGTTTCTAATTTCAAACGGGCGCCGTTTTAACACCGGGAGCCCCGGGTTACTGTGATAACGTGCGAACGCGATTATTATTATTCTCGTGTACGCATCGCGTATCGACAAAACATTGTCCTCCCGCGTTTCTCCACCGCGGCCGCCTGTCTTCTTCCTCTGCGCGAGTATTTGCATCGCGCTTAATTAAGCACACCTGATCATCCTCTGGCATCCCCGGCTTCGTAGCCGCGGTCCGATGGATTGCCATGCCGGCACATGACGTCTTCGCTACTGTCAAAATAGCGCGCATTCCTCGTCTCAGGTTCTTTGATCCGTAGATTAGGGATACGCAATATCTTCGCTTTATCGTTCTAGACCGACGCACGAACAAATCTTAATCGCGATTCTTACAGAGGAAGAGAGAGATGGCTCGGCAGGCCCGCGGTACCGATTGATTCCAACACCGATCGCTTCTTTCTAATCGCCTCCGTTTCGTTTTAGAGCCGCGAAAATGTCAGACAGAAAAGCTGTTATCAAGAATGCTGACATGTCCGAGGAGATGCAGCAGGACGCTGTCGACTGTGCGACCCAGGCTTTGGAAAAGTACAACATTGAGAAGGTATATTTGGAACACAGCTACACGTTTTCTGTACGACCAGCGGAATCGGTCTTTTGTTTTCCTTCTTTCCTTTCTCGCTTCGAATAAACTTTGGCAAACGGGGCCGAGTTGATCGATTTCGTCGATCTCATCGGTAATCCGTCCGTATTTGCTTGTTGATTCTAGGACATCGCAGCCTTTATTAAGAAAGAGTTCGATAAAAAGTACAATCCGACGTGGCACTGCATCGTAGGACGTAACTTCGGAAGCTACGTGACACACGAAACCAGACATTTTATCTATTTTTACCTGGGTCAGGTAGCGATCCTTCTCTTCAAGAGCGGTTAAATCGGAGTCTATTCTGTAATCACCATCCTTTCTTCTTCCCTTCACACACGCTACATGGAAATACCTTAAGTCACGTCACCACGTCTGTAAGAGAAATTACAATAATATGTACAATGGAAATTTGTTTTTCAAACGAAACACGCATTCCTAATTGAAAAGAAACAAAGTATATAAGAATCATCGGTACTGTCGACTTTGCTGTTTTACTTCTATTCGGGAAATATATATAAATATATATATATAAGGTAATGACGATAAATTCTGTAGAGAATGAAACGGGAAAGGCGGGTGGGATGATGATTGACTAAGCGGGAAGGATAAAATATGAAAGAAATCAATTGACATACAATCTTACATGTTGAAATGTATCGTGTATGCCAGAAAGAAGTTTGTTGTGTTCTTGTTTTATATTAGGTATATATAATGCGAGGTTGAGTTCAAATACTGGCGAATTTAAATTAATAAAATTTTAGTGTTCAAAACACGCTAAGTGCACCCGAGAGTATGTAATGTAACAACGTCCATACAGATTTCATGTACGGTTTTTATTTGCGAATCGAGAAAATTGTAACCGATGGTCGTTCAATAATGAGAGCCAAACCTTGATTGCTATGCGATCATTAATTATTGTTTCATGTAACGTTGTGTAAATCGTCCCTTTATTCTGTGATGCTGTGGTTGGAAAAACAAATGGTTCAAACCCCGATTTGTTCGTAAGACTAGGAGGAAAAATTCAAAGATCAAAGGCTGACGAGGGAAAGTTTAGTTATTATTATCATCGGCACACAGATCGAGAGAACGCGCGAGAGCGAAAGCGAGAGAGAGAGAGAGAGAGAGAGAGAGAGAGAGAGAGAGAGAGAGACACGGACAGACGTACGTGCGCGCGTAAAATGTTTGATCGTGAATTTCAACTTTAAATTCACTCGCTGCTAAGTAAGATGTTGCATAATATCCAAGTCGAGTCATTGTCATGAAACTTTTTCTTTTTAAATAACCGTGCACACGAAACTAATTTTTAAGGCAAAATACACTTAGAGAAATTCATTTGTTCTCTTTGTTTTTCTTTCCTTCTCTGTTCTTTTCGACTTGACGACAAGAAGAAAGATAGGCATCGAGACCTATTTAAATTTCTCTGTCCTCAGCATCCAATACCACCCAATATTACGGTACTTATATGTATATGAGTATATATATATATGATAAAATATAGATTATATACATATATATTAACTATTTATATATAGTGCAATCTTTAAACGATTTTTCATGCAGTATTTGATAATTGAAACGTTGCTACATTGTTCAAATTTTAGACTGACTATTAAAATATCGTCACAGGTATATATAGCTTGCATGATTCTTTTTTATGAAAGACTTCACGAGCCATTCTTTGCGGTGACACGTTACGTTATGTGTATGATGAGTTTGGCGGTGAAAACAGGCAAAGAAGCGCCGGCAGTGAAGCGCAGAAATTAATTATTACGTTTCCGATTGTTGCTCCAGCTAAACTGTCCAGCGAAATATTCTTTCGATCGAGCCGATCAACCTATTATCTAGCTGTACACACTCTTCTTACCTGTTAACGCACATAAGCAAATAGATGATAAATCGATTATAGCCCAGTCCGCAAAGAAGAGTCTATAAGAGGGAGAGCCGACGGCGTCGTTTCGGTGTCGACGTTTGTTAAATGAAAAAAAGATTCAGATTAAAAATATAGCATCGGGCAGAAACTGTGTTCAGATACTCGGATCAGTCTATCTATACACGAAGCACACGTACATACATTGCTAATAAAACCGTAAATTACCAGGAGATCACGAGTACATATGCGTATGCGTTATATTAAACCAAAAGCGAACCGATTGCGAGTTCTTTCATATCGAAATTGCGCAATTATTTATTGAACAAAAGAATAAGGAAAGACTTGCAGTTTTATACGATGAGAGAGAAAAGTCGTACGTTATGTTTGAGAATATATTTAAAAAAAAAGGCGATGGGGGCAACGCGATCTCTGTGGTTGTCTGCTAATTATCATCTTGTGTCTGATATAAGTTTCTTTTTAATAAAGCCGATAATGATTCTTAAAACCACACTCGAAACTCTCCCATCTGCTTTATTATTCATCGATCTCTACCGAACTAACGTTTCTTCCGGGCCGTATGCGAACGTGTTCGCGTAGTTCGGTTACGCGTACATCGCTACGCACGGTGCCCCGGTAATCATCATAATTAATGCGTTGCGTCTATTAAGCCAGCCGGCGTACAAATTGGCCGCAAAATCGATATTTATGCACGCGCACGGAAGCTGCGTCCAACAGTTACATCGAGTTGAAAATTAAATGACCTTTTCGGATGCCGATAGCGGATCGCGTGCCAGATTTAATTAGCGACCAATTTCGGAGCGAAAAGTCAACGCAGCGGCACCGAGCAAATTCTTGTTCGTTCCTCGTGGAGTTTCCTCACATTTTCAAGGTGGGAGATATACCCAGGTGTACGATTTCGTTGCCAGGGCGACGCGTCGCGACAACACGCGCGAGAACGCTACTTGGCTCCGTTCAAACTTGACCCGTCGACCGAGAAGAGAAGTTTCATCATGAGGGAGAACACCAAGTTCATCGTCGCGGAAGTGAACAAGTTGTTGAATCGAAATTACAACGCGATCTATTTCAATTCCCTGAGCCCCGAGGAACTGCTTCAAGTAAGGATCGGCTGCGCTTCGAGGAGGAGACCGTCATACAAGTTCCGTTGCAGGTGCTGCGGGAAGTGCTGATCAGGATACAAGGTGAAAACGTCGACGTCGATGTCAGGAACGAAACACCCGAGGAGATGTCCGTTCATATCCTATCCGTTCTTCGCGTCCTCAATTATCCGCCGCAGAGCGATCCGTCGACCTTCAGGCAAGATCTAGCCCGTTCGTCGACGATTACTCTCAAATGATTTTCCTACATCACCTTCAGGCAGGGATTGATTCGAGGAGATCCCGAGACCGTTCATCCCATCTTGATCTGGCTACTGTCTAACGTGGAGACGGTCAAGAAGAGAGCCTACCTGTCCCGATTCCTGGTGAAGATGGACGTTCCCGGCGAGTATTTGAGCGATCCGGAGGTCTCCGCTTTGTACGAACAGTACACGGGTCTGATCGATCGATTCAAAACGGTGCACAAGGAGAGGGAGTTAGGGTGGAAGGTAAAAGCAAGTGCGATACACCGCGTTCGCGTTTAATCTGAAAGAAGAAACTTTTCCTCAGACGTCTGAGAATGCCAGCGAGTTGACCGCGGATATCAAAACCATGGAAAAGGAGAAAGAAGTAAGAGGCGCGTGTTAATTATACCAGCGAGTGTCCTACAGATTTTTCGCTTTATACGTTCGATTACGATTTAGGCGGTGGCCGTGCGCATCGAAAAAATGCGAACGAAAGCGGAGGCAGGGATTCACCTGTTGGACGCTGCCCACGCGTTTCGGATCGAGAAGGACAAGGAGCGTGATCTCGCGTTGCAAGAGGAACAAGAGAAGGAGATAATATCGAGGCTGCAAGTACGTGCCGCGCCGGTGCTCGCGAGAACATTGGCTTAAAAGCGGTATTCAATTCTAGGCGAACTTGCAACGATTGGAAAGGGAATTGCAAACGTTGAAGAAAGACGAGAACGAAGTCACGGCTCAGACGTTGCTGCAACGTTTGTCCGAGACGATCACCGTACAGACCATCGTCACGAACGAGAAGCTGCCAGCGGAGATACACGCGAAGAAGAATCGCATGAAGGCTCTGAACGCGGTGAAACAGTACGCGTATTTGGGTCCGGACCAAATAACGAGTCTGAGAAATAAATTGGATGCGATAGCCAAGGAGATCCAGGGTTTAGTGGAGCTGAAGGTGAAAAAGATTTTTCTGCCATTTAATTCGTCCGATTCGGTAGTGATCAACGGAGTTTAATTCAGATATCGAAGAGCAACATCGACAAGATCGAACCCTTCCGTCAACAAGCAGCCGCGGTCGCGAATATCAAACGAAATGTGTTGGAGAAACTCGAGAAGATCGAGAGCTCGTTGCGCGAATTGGAAACGAAACTGGAAGAGAAGCGCGAGTCGTCCAAGTTAGTAGTCGAAGACGTTATCCCCAGAGGCGAGGAGTTGAAGAAATATATAAATCGATTGAAGACCAGGGGAACGCTTTACAAACACTGTAAATCAGAGTTGGCGTGGCTGAACGCGGAGAACAGCGTGTTGCATCGGACGGCAGCGATCTTGGAGAATCAAGTAAATATTAATCGAATCGCTACTTCGTTTACACTCGTTGATGTTCGACCGTCTCGTTAGTACAACCAGTACAACCAAGCGAAGGAAAGATTCGAAACGGTGAAGAAGAATACTTCGGATGACTTTACGGAGGACAACGCGTCTTCGATGAATCTACAGCTGTCTCGAGATGTGTCCGGCTTCAGAGCAAGACTGGTCCCTATGGTAAACGGTACGTTTTGTAATTTTAGTTGGAACGAACGTTGAGTCATTGTAACAACGCGGTAGAACTGCAAGCGTTGAGGGAAAAGTATCGTGAATTCGAGCAACGGCAGCAGACAGCGAGAAAGGCCAGAGGCGAAGTAGAATCGAGTATGAACTTGTCGATCAACGATCTGCAGTCCGAACTGGAGAGTAGAAGAGCGAAAATAGCCAAGGTAGTCGACCAGTTTCTTCCACTCGTGTCAATCGTCATAATTTTAATTGTTTAATGCACTGGAAGGACGCGGAGGAGAAGGAGAGATTGGAGAAGCTTATTACCAAAATGAAGACCACGGAAGAGAGAATAAAACGCGATACGGAGGTTCGTTACGCTCGCTACGCTTACCGTTCGATAGATTCGCTGCTCGTGAAAATTAATTGAGAACGTTACGCAGGATCCGACGATCTCTGATCCCGGTAAGAGGATAAAGGAGGAGTTGAATTCCGCTATACAGGCAGAGGAGACAACGATAAAGGAACTGACGACGGAGAAAGAACGATTGAAAGAGACCATCGGTGTAAATGAAAAGCAAACACAGATGTGGAACGACCTGTTGACGTGAGTAAAAATTCATCGTCACATATCGCGTTCGAACGAGATGGCATATCGAAGTATCGTTTCAGAGTGTTCAAATGTAAAATAAAATGCGCCGAGGAGAGCAAACAGTCGAACGGGATCGTCGTGCGACAGGGAGGAGCGGAAACGTTGGTGTTGCAGTAGAAATTGGGAACAGGTAGATACGAAACGAGTTTGAGTCAAAGGAATTTTTATTTTCAAACTTCGACAGCGTAAAAAATACAATTTAAATATACATACACGCTGAATCCAGTTTTAATTTAAAGTTCCAATTAAAATTGTTCACAAAAAAAATACGCTGCTCTTCTTCTTTTTAAGTGTTTGAATGTCAGCTTTACGGGGCCTTTTATTAACTTACAGACAGGGCCGGTATTCAGAGTCGTTGTTTATTCTTAAGATCGTCTCGAGCATTTGCTATCCCTGTCTAGCCTATGTTTCTAGTCCCTGTCTTCTGCAGAAAACTTGACCAAATGCTTAAGGCGATCTTGAATTTAAGTAACGACTCTGAATGCCGACTCGGAATATCCAGAGAGTGTATTCTATATCTATAGTAGTATACGTACAGTATAGTATCACATTTCTACGAGTGTTTCATACCAGAAATACATCATGGATTCTTAAATGTATTTCACGACTCACGAGTCCGTATTATGCTACACTTGTATACGCTCTTGTAATAAAATAGATTGAATAGCATGTTTTTACAATCTGTTCGAGGATAGAGAGCTGAATCGGACGACGACTGAATCGCAGCCGTCGGCTCGTTACGTTCATGCCACGGTCCGATATACTTTTATCTTTGATCAATCGTCTCCGTTCATTTGTATTCAGCTCTGATCGACGTACGCGCAATACAGTTCAAACGTGGTGTGTTCGATCATTAACATTAATTGATATGTCATCGAGATCTGCTCTTTAATGACGCCGTGTCGTCTACGAGTCAATTTCCAAGATAGAAAATATATTTCTCGAGGGGAAAAAGACCCTCGGGACACTTGGAAAAAGTAGTTATCGTCGAGAAAGTAATATCGTAATTGTCCAAGTGAACGTTCGCTTCGATATCTATCGTAAATATGTAGGATAAATGCAACGCTATTGTCTGATCTATCATCTAGTAGTATCAGAGTAAATGCAACTGCAAAACGAAGTTGAGTTAAGAAAACGCGAAACGGCTAGAGTCTCTATAACTTACACTGTTCTACCTGTACACGTTTTGACTAACATTTATCGTCTATCTATGAGATATTTAACGGTTGAAATCGCTGCTGCGCTTAAAGAAGAAATGCGTTTTTGTTCGGAACGTGTATCGCGACACTTCGGGAAACATTCGTCCCGCGTTTGAGTAACTTGTAGAAAATACTGAAATCATTTGTCTCCGTCTCGTGCTCGTTGAAATAAACAAATACATTGAGCATGCCACAGTCGTACCGTGATCAGGGTGAAAAGAAAATAATTACGTTCTAACGGTTCACGATGTACGAACACGCTTGACGTCCATCGGGTCTTAAATGCAATAAATCGAGCCGTCCGATAAAACCGAATGATCAGGTAAAAATTCTTGCCTTAGGAAAGTGGCAGTGTTCGCGACTTTACGGTTTCTCCTTTTACTATCACCAAAAATTCCGATTAACTCGACAACAAGTATGCTACACGAATGTGTCTATGAGTGGTCATCGATTTAATGTACTGCTCAAAATAACTCGGAACGTAACGATATTATTATTATTATACGTACGAACTAAACGTCCAATAAACGATCCTACGATACTTCCGTTCCCTCTCGTTGCTTTGAGCAGTATCCTTCGAGTAATAATATGTACAATCTGAGAAACAGAGAGGAGCCTCCTCAACCCTTGGCCAGGGCTGCATCGTTGTCGCTTTTAACGTCACTATTGCTATTGCTGCCAGTTTTGGAACCAACTGCGCTCAGAGCGATCCCCAGTTGAGCCGCGTAGTACGTTAACATTATCGAAACCTGTGAAAGATCAACACACATAAGTTTCGAGAGCAGGGGGTGGCGTGTACGTTTTCGGGAGGAAGATCATCGTACCTGAGAATAAGGTAACGGAGTATGAAAATAATGGAACCCGAGCAGAGTATCGGACACGAGGAAACATATACTGCCGATGCAGCTGCATAATTTAGTCCACGTCCATACCTCCTGCCAAGAAAGTGTCAATCGTTAGGTAACGGTATCGACGACGAGTTTTCGAAGAATCGTTTAGTATAATGGTTTCCAATTTCGTCTAACGACCAATCTTTACGGCACGAATCGTCGATAATGACGAAAATAGTCAATAGCCTTGAAGATAAACTTTAATGACCACGCGTGTGTGCACGTGTCGCATCTGGTCAAGGTGCAGGTCGACTCCTACCCGTTCCCATTCCGGGCTCCGGTTTCCCTTTTGATCGGATCACTGGATCGCGTTACCGCATACCGGAATAAACACCGCGGCACGATTCATCTATTCCTAACTCTATGGCACGCTACTTTGTACACCAGACAAAGTGGCGATCGGATGACCCGTGAAATTGGAAAACACCGTGTAAACAGGAAATCGCTGTCGTTAATATCTTTTACTTTGTAAAATTGTACTCTGGATATTGCCCTCCACGCCATGGTGGTGAGTAGCACGGTGTAGATCGGTACACCGATCACGAGAACCCCATTCAGGCCAGGCATCAGAGCGTATATGACTGGAATGATACGGTTTTAAGGATCGATAATTATTACACGGTTCGATCCGTCGGTCGGAAAGGAGACGTCGACTTACCTAGCGAACACATAGCGTACAGGATTGTACCTAGGATTATGTTAAGCGGTATGAAACCGAATGCGCTGATGTACATGATCTGAGCGATGGCGAACATGCACATCCCCGGCGTGAAACAACTGGGCCAAACCAACAACGCGTCCCCTATGCAGCTGAATATTAATCCGGTTAATATTCGCCTGGAGAAGGCATACCTGGAAAATTATAACACGATCAATCGCTACCGGTATCGTCTCTCTACGGATTCTAGAAGCAAGAACAAGAACAACATTCGGCTGAATGATCGAGCAGTCGACAGAAGCGGTGAACGAACGGTACTATAGGTAAGGCTTACACTTACATTTTCAGGTGACTTTTTCGGTCGCAACATATTTCGATCAACCGGTTCTTATTAATTTTTCAGTCATTTTCGTTTCGATATTAGAAAAGCATTGCGAGATACCGGCGTTCTCGTATTACCGTACATATTTCTCAGATACTTTAACAAGATCAATCCGCCGCCCGGGCAGAGGACATTGAAAATTCCGCCTCGCAATTCGAATCGATCCTCTTCTTTGTGACAACGAGAATTTTGCGCGTGGAAAAACATCTGTGGAATGCGGAGATTGTTAAGAGAGATAGATAGACAGAGAGAAATTAAACAAATTGGCTGGGCGGTTGAATTGTGCGTTTTTATCGTTTAGGAGTAAAAAAAAGCGACCTGAAAGTAAGCGTTTAAGCGAGAGGTAGTAGTTATAATGCATAAACGGCTAGCACCTATATTTAATGTTACACGTAGCCACGGAAATGCGATCTAACATAGGCTCGATTAACTCGCTTCTTCCGCTTCCGCTCCGCTAAACGTTTCCTCATTTCATGCCAACGGTGTCATTCTCTGAACTCGACGTATCAATAATTCAATCCATAGTTAAGAAAAAACGGCAGACGTAAGCGAGATCGATCGCCGTGAAATCGTTTACGTCTGACAACGTGATTTTGCAATAAATTGCACGATCGTTCAAAGACCAAGGGTCTCCATTGATTCCAAGCGTTAATTGGAAATTGCGCAACGAAGGGGGGCCGGGCAGACGGGCTTGTGCTCGTGGAAAAAAGGATCGACGCATGCATGCATTATTTTTTTGTTTTCTTATTCGTTGCACTTACTCCTGCGACAAACTAATTCCATGTAGGAGAACAAAGACGATAAGACTTATAATTGGCAAACACTTGAAGCAGGCCGTCAGCAGGGACGGCTGCTCGGCCAGTAATATAAAGTACACGGAAACGCTTTTAAAGAATGGGACTAGCTTTGGGCCGACGCTTTTTAACTGGAACAGAGAAAACATCAAATTGGAATCGTAAACGCGACGACTCGCCGCTACCTGTTTCACCGAGACGATTGCGTCGATCGTTTTATCATCAAATCATCATTATCGTTCAATCGAGATGCACGGGGTCTCGGTAAACCAGGTGCGTGAACGTGCTTAAATGCGCATCAGTTAATTCGGGCTCAGATTTCTAGAACATCTACAATGAGAGGAGACTCGATAATGACAAGGGAAAAATAAACGAATGCGACAGATAAGAACAGATCGAGGACAATACTTATCATCGTCGAGTGTAGAAACAAAAGGAGAGCGATTATTTGTTAATCATTGTTCCGTATCCAATGTACAATCATAACATTTGTCTTGGCTGAAAATCTATCGAAGATAAGCGACGGGCTTGCACGCGGAATGCACGTAAATAATTTGCGTCCTGTGCAAATAATCAAAACTGACCAAGTTGCAACTTAAAGGTATCACACGATGTTAGAGACGGTTGCATTCCGAATAGTAGCCGTGTCTTTTACCTCGGTGAATCGATACGGGCACACGCGTACGGCATCGTACGATTAAAGAGACGATTAAGGATGTATTGGCTCTATAGTCAATCCCAAAAGTTTATGTACCTTAGGAAAAGGTACTGACGTCCCCTACAAGAAAGATTTTATGTATTTTTCTTCTAATTCGAGTATTTAACAAGTTACATATGATTATTTGCCATTTTATTGATGTTGACAAAATCCGACCATTCCACCGTCGAAACGGCGAACTTTTGGCAAAAAATTTCGTTTTTTGCCAATAACTCCTAAACCGTTGGATCTATGGAAAAATTGCATAGGACCTTTCTTGTAGAGGACGACGAGATCTACAATTTCTGTATAAAAACTTTTCGCTAGCGTCAATAGTTTACGAGTTATTGACGAAAAACGAAAAAACAGTTTTTTGCCAATTACTCGTAAACTATTGATGCTAGCGAAAAGTTTTTACACTGAAATTGTAGATCTCGTCGTCCTCTACAAGAAAGGTCCTATGCAATTTTTCCATAGATCCAACGGTTTAGGAGTTATTGGCAAAAAACGAAATTTTTTGCCAAAAGTTCGCCGTTTCGACGGTGGAATGGTCGGATTTTGTCAACATCAATAAAAT